CACTGGTTCTGGCAGATTTAGACTTGTCTCTGGCTATTTAGCACAGTTGTACAGCTAATGGGCTGTTGGACAATTTCATCAAACTTGCTATTTTCTGGTGACTCGTTTGTAATTCGGGGAAGGAGTGCACGGTTAGCCATTTGTGAATAATTGGAAACCCTCTTGAGATCTCAAGAAAAACACTTTCAATGTTAAATAGGGTTGATTCGCCTGTTTATTTAGGTATCCTAGATAGAATCTCAATACTGACCTTTGAATGCTCCATATATTTCTCCAAATTGGATTTTGCCTTTGTGTGTGTCTGATGAGTTTTAAGAGGCCAAGATCTTAATTACTGTTATTATGCCTAGTTTACCATACGATTATAGTTGATGTTAATTAAAATGAGGACTTTGCAAATGCAAAAGGCAGATCTACAGGATTTATGTGCTCGCATGTACATTTTCATGTGCATCCACAGGTATATAAATATGAAAACTTTGTCATCAGCTGCATTTATGTTTTACTTCTGATCAATTCCTGGACATCAAAATTCTTTACCAGCCTCAAACCAAAGTAAAACCTAACATATCCTTCAATTACTGTCCTAAATACAAATCCTCTATGAGAAACCTGTTTCCAGTATTAGGCTTGTAGAATAGAGCAGTGTCACTGCTGAGAGGTGATCTAGCTATCTATAGGACAAACCTCACTTTTTTTTCAGACTGCAATACCCTGGTACAATCACAGTCATTCTGTATGGACTGTTTGAAGTTGGTTGATAGTTTTGCCATGAATTAGAAAGTTAAAACCTTCATCTGCCTCTAAGACTTGCATTATGATGCCTAGTTTTACAAATAGAAATGCATACAAATAGCACTGATAACAGTTTTAAGACACATGGCCCATACTGAATACACAATGCTATAACATTAAGAGATGTGTTGTCTCTTGATGAAGGTGATATGAGCTGCTTGCTTGTGTCTTCCTAAGCTTGTATAATGGGGGGCTGAAATACAGAGAGCATCTTGTAAAGGGATAGATTAATACATGCTCACAGAGAAAAATATGTGCTTCAGAGAGATTGCCCAATGGTTGTGAAAACACAATTTATATTTTCAAACTGAGTTGTTTTAAAATTCTAGATGATCCTGGGATTCGTATTCTGTGTAGCACACTGGCATTTTGCTGTATTTTCCTCTCTCAATATAGTTTAATCTGTATTAAAGCACTGTGCTGTCACAACTTTCATAAATTATTACACAGCCAGCCAATAGAAATTACATAAATACTGCAAATATAATCATCTGTTCTTAGCAGAAAGTCTTAAAGGACTTTTAAACTAGTTACAACAGAAAGTGGTAATCCTTCTATTAAAACTTTCTTACCATGTTATAAGTTTGCCATTATGCAACATTTTTCACTTTGTCAGCTCAAACCTGTTTTTCCAAAAGTAATCTAGACCTTGCTTTGCTGAGATGGAAATAAAGGGAAGTTTGTCTTGACTAAGTGCTCTGTTTTCCTGTGACTCGGAGCAAGTAGTAGTTAGAATGAAACATTGGAAACAACAGTAATTTACTAATCAGGAGAAAAATGGTTGTTACTGAAACATATCCCATGTTTACTGCAAAATTGATTTAAAGCGCATTTTAAAATAATAGCTCAAGAAAAATAGGCTCACATTGGGCTCCAAATTCCAAATGCAACATTTGCATATATATTATTAAGTGCCACAGAAAAGACTTTGCTCACGGAGGTCTCTTAAGGGCACAGAAGATAGCAAGGAACATGCTGTTGAATTACTCTGCCTTTGGAAGTGTGAGCAGCATTGAGCTCCTGATTAGGCTTTTCATTGCCCTTGTGAAAGGCACTGAAGCAAAGAAAATGCTGGAAATAAACCTAAATTCTATGATACCTTCACCCAAGCCCTAGATTGTGCTTTTAGTGGATTTTTAATGACCACAGTGCTAAAATGTAATTAGCTTAAATTACCACTTGTACCCTCACAAAATAAAGAAGGGAAGAATTATCCAGTGCTAGTGCTTTTCTTGGAACAAAATGGATTAAACATGGCTGTTAATCAGAAGTAAACTCAGGAACATAGACCACTATCCAGGAGAATGAATAGCTAAGGAATGAGATCAGGCAAAACTCTAAGGAAAGAGAAATAGTTCAGTGTATGCTCCTCTGCAAAGCTTGTGAAGAAAGGAGTAGCAGAAACTTTAAACAGCATTGGCGGTGTGGAGACTAAAGCAGTGTGCCACGCTGGCATAACACTGGGTTACAGCAGGGGTTTTGGGGAGAGACAAGAACAGAGCTTGATTAATCTGTGGCACGAATTACTCACCCCTATATCAGCAACAGATGGTAGAATTTGAGTGCAAGAAGTACAGAAAGAGGAGAGATGTTTATTCTGACACGTGAAGTAAGTTATATACAGGGGGAGCATCATACTGATAGACCTGGTGATAGAGAAAAAAGAATTGAAAGCTGTTGCCAGGAGCAATTCCAAAGAAAATTAACTTCAAAATCTTGTGTGGCAAACAGCAAAAGTTATCATGATTAGTCTTCTCCCTTTTTGCATTTATATATGTCCTGCTTTTATACCTGTATGTGCTTCATGTAATAAATATTCAAAGATTGCTTTACAGTGGCTGCAGCCAAGTTAATGCTGGTTATTCCAGATGGAAAGATCATTGCATCTCAAGGTACTGTAACAAAAGACTTGGCAGTTCATAAGCTGTGTTCCTGCTGGGAGCAGGTGTCTTCAGTTTGACAAGATTGCACTTTATCCATGAGTGCTTGAAATGCACTGTAGCTGGTAGCAGGTCAAACAGGTCTGAATTCTTAAAAAGAGTGTTGTAAGACTTTGGTAATGAGCTTGAGGCGGTGAACAATGACATGCAAAACTAATTACCTGTTTACTAACGTCACAATAATTCAGCCATTTGTCTTGACTGGAGCCATGCTGAGCCTTGGCTTCGTCTGCCAAGCCTGCTTCCCAGCCCTTGAGTGATTGTATGTGAACTGTTTTGCTAGAAAGTGCCAAAAAAAAAGAAGAAAAAAAAAAGGAGGGAAAAGGGAATTCATTTAACTGCTACAACTGAGGTTTTAATTTACTGACCACATAAGAGATTTAGGGATGTGATTTGTTTATATGCGAAGCAGGTCTCTGTGGGAGCAGTGTGTTTTCACCGAGGAGCATGAACTGGACACCCAGCAGAAGAGTTCATTATCTGAGTGCTAATGTTCACAGACAAATACGTAATGCATCATAACTATTAGCAATGAAGTGCTGGATGGCAGCATAAAATCAAATCACCTCCGGCAGTTTTACTGTTGAGGCTTGGTTCCTACACTTTGCAAAAGATCCGGGTTACAAACAGACACCCATGAGCAGGGGGCCTGTGAAGCTGTGATGGGTTTCTCTCTGGGAATTGCACACAAACTGCTTTCAGTTGACGGAACTATGTGTGACTGTGGGCTACAGTGGTTAGGGTTAGATCGGCAACTTCATACAGTTCTCTGACTTGGTGAACTTGACAGTTATTCCACTATCAAACAACAAAAAGTCATTCTGAAGAAGTTAAAAGAGAGCATAAAAGGCTGGCTTTTTTGTCTTGACTCAACAAGCTCTTTGGCCACACTAGTTTGTAGTTCATAAATCAGAACTTTTGTGTGATTTGGTTGATCTGGATTCTTTGGTTGTGCCAAGGGTTTAACCTTCTGTAACACAGCATACAAGTAACCCTTGAAGTAAACTGTATGGATTTAGTCAGCGGATATCAGCACAGCACTTTGCTATCTGCTTGGTTCCCCTCCCCACTAAAATTAGAGGATCTCTTTCTTGTGGGTTCAGTGGACATTAGGTCAAATGTTAATTTTATCATGAGTGGGAATGCTGTGTTATGGCCATTGAAAGTAAAATGCTGGTTTACACTTAGTGCTAGCAACTGGGCAAAAATCACCCACTAGAGGCAAAGAAAATGTTTCATAGATAGGAAAATTTGCGCTTGTTTGCCTAATGGGGTACTGAGGTACGTGTGTCCAAGAGATGTGTTCTGAAAGATTAGTACCTGTCCCAGAGATGAAAACCTCTTTCTTCCTTGAATGGCAATAATTAAAAAGAGTATTTGAGGCTCAACAGCAGAACTCAGGGACTCTGGAGTGTTTTCTGTGAATTCTATTTCTACCCTTTCTTATTTGTAAAGACTTCATCTTTTACAAATCAGTCTCCTGAATTATTTAGTGTGTATTTTATGCAAATAGCTTAAGAATAATGAACAGAGAAGCATTTCTCTCACCTTACCCAAGTATAGCAGGTAAGGTGTGTGATTTGGGAGTAGGTTTTATAACAGCTGTCAGCAGCTAAAGTTGGATTTAAATAAAAAGAAAAATACCTCATGATCCAGCTCACCTGGGCCTACAGCTGGCATCAGTTCCATTAATATGTTTTTTGTACTGACATTTATAAGCTTCTTGAAATGCACTGTAAACATCTAGAAAGCTCCAAATCAGAGCAGTGAACTACTCAGGACTCATCCAAACACAGTTTGGAGCAGACAGTGGAATTCCTCCATCTGCCTCCCCCGAGCAGCCCTTTGGCCGATGGTTATGCAGTGAGAGTGCTGGGCTCTCTGCTGAGCTTGCTGCCTATGCACTAAGGAAGCCAGTAGAGTTCTTGATCAGGGTAAGAGGGCTGTTCATGGGAGTATTTTCTAATTGTTGTCAGGCATGATCTGCAATGTTAGCTGAACCAAGGTGATGATGGTGCAGAGGGGCAGTAACAGCAGCTGCGAGCAGTAACCTCACTCCTGATGCAGCTAGAAAAGGATGCCTGTGTACGGTTCAGTTTGCTAGGCAGAGTAACAGAGCATGAGCGGATGCTCTGTATTGGTATTAGGTTTAGGGAAACTTGAATGGTGGTTACAAATCCCAAATGGGATTTTATGTAATGACCCATTTTAATGGTCATTAAAATGGTGTTCTTTGTTCTTTTTTTTTTTTTTTTTCAAGTAAGTCTTATTGAGATGGAAGACGGCATTCTGGTGTTGCAAGAGCGTTCTGAGCTGTGAATCACAGAGAGAGATTTAACTTCTGTTTCACTCCTGACAAAAGCTTTACTGGATTTCAGGTGCCTTCCTGCTCTCTCTGTTTCCTTTTTGCTCGTGCTATGGAGTTTCTGGTTGACTGTGCTGAAGTGCTCCCTGTTTAATGTGGTAGTTTTTCTGATACCATTGTTTGTCCCCATACATAGTCTCAGGAGACATGCCTTCTTCCTAGCATGGCACCTAATTAGGTTAATGGTGTTGCTAAAGAAATGTTCATTGAACCACAGACTTGGGCCCAAGCAGAACAACCAGTTTGTTACAAACACGTGGGTCTTATGCCCAAGAAAATAAGGGAAAGAGGAACAGTAAAGGCTTTTCATGCTCTAATTTTCTTTGAATTCGAAGTGAGCTATCTGCAGCTCTCTGTAGAACACCAATTCATTATTTTACATTAAGTCTTGGTTATGACTGTGCTGCTCAGACTGGAAATGACATTTTCACATCCAAGAGGGGTCTGAGAAATGAGACTATTAAGAGCAACTTTCAGGAAGTGATCACTGTTGCTGTTGGAGATTTCACAGGTATTGTCTCCCCAATTTGGGGAAATTTACTTGTATGTCTTGAGTCTGCAGAATTTCCTGGAAGTGAACCAACAACAGAATTTCTCGTGAGATTTCTCTTATATCCTGGCAAGCTCCTTTCCTGGAGTGTGTTTAGAGGCCCCACAGGAAGAAGCTGATGAGAACAGTAAGAAAATCTCAGGAAAAATAGACATGTAAACTCTGAGATTAATTGTGGGGAAGACGTGGGTTGAGGTTAGTTTTTTAACCCAATTCAGTCATTCATACACTTGTAATTCCATCTAGAAAATGGCCAAATAGGAGTCAGTTATCTGAAACTGCAGAGGATATTCTGTCTAGGTTCAATGGACTTCAGATCTGTTTTAGTCTGCAGAATCACAGCTTAGCTGATAAGCTTTTTGCAAAACTAAATGGTTTGCCTGTACCAGCTGTACTCCTCGTCTTGGGCTTTGCAAAGACAGTTGAAATTTTTTCCATATACTGCAAATCTGGTAAGAAATAGTTTCGGATGTTTCTGATTTGAGTGGGAGACAGGAACTGAATGGTACACTAAAACACAATGCGTAATTTTAATCAGTGAAAAGCAGTGAGTCCTTCAGTTCTAGTGGGTAGTTAATAAGAGACATAAGGATGTAAGGTATATGGATTGCTAGAAGAGATGACTAAATAAATATTCATAACAGTCTAATGTGAAACACATGTATGATTCTTATTTATTCTATGCCTACAGATTTAGCAAAGGGGTAAGGGAATAAGGGCTTACCTGAATTGATCGAATCTTGTTAAGGCTGATTCTTATAATGTGTAGGGATAGATGGGTAAAATATTCTTAAAGGGGACCTTATGGAGTGGTCTTATCATGATTCAGGAGCATTTGCAGTACTTGTGCAATGCAGTTCAGAGGTAAGGTGTGTGACATGGGAATGGCTGCTTTTACAGCAAAACAAAAAAACCTATCTGAAGAAAGGGTAAGGTCTAAGGTGTGTGCTGTAGTTAAGCTATGTATCTTCTCAGTGATATGACAGGCAGTAATACTGTGTCTGTTTCACAGTTGTTGAACCTCAGGTGCCCAGTTTGCATGGGGAATTATCTCCTGAAACCTCCTTTTAAGTCATCTGCACCAAGGTTCAGGTGTGACACAAGAAAAATACTAGATCTGATACTGATCTGGAACCAATTCAAGTCAAAATTGCATGTCGTTCTATTGTTATACTTCTTGGATCAGACCCAAGTGTAAGGAAGTTGGAGGCATGAAGCAAACTAGCATGATGATGTGGGATCCCATTTTGAAGATCACAGCAAGCTGAAGAAAATTCAGCTCTAAAATATACCTAAAGTGTGTACATATAAGTCTAAATTCCTACTCAAAGGACTTATTTAAGCAGATATGTTTTCTTTGAGAGGAAAAGACACTGAATTAGCTTTATTTTAAGTGAGTCCAGATGAACCAATACTCAAGGTTTGTCTGTGGTAGCTGAAGATATTTGTAACTTAAGCCTGAATGATACTTGTGAAAATTGTCCTTTTTTTTTTTCCTGTTCAATTGCATGAAAACCAAACCCTTAACTTTGGGATGTTTGAAACATGGAACAGTATCAAGTCTTGTGTAGCTCCATTGACATCTCATGACTGTAGCAAAGAGGATTTGACTGATCTGTGTAGTCCAGCATTAGATACTGTATAAATGTGCCTTGTGTTTAGAGAGTGGCTGGTTGGTGGGGTATAGTTATGGGGTTGTTCTGGATTTGGCAGAAGAATCTGGCCACCGTCTCTTGAGTATCACAGGAAGCACTACAAGGCTCTTTTAGCTACTTCAGTTCCTTTTTTTCTGGTATCATTCCTAATGTATATTAAAATTATATCAGATCTGAGGAATGGAAATGACAGTCAGAGTGTGATTTGAATGTTAATAGAATTTTAGTTTTTGCTTTTCTTGCATAAGTGTTTTTTGCAAGGATTGCAAGTGAGGGAAGTGTGACCCTGCCATTTGTTGTGCCTGTGTATTTTAAGACTTCTAACACGTAACAAAACAAAAGAAGGTAGCTTTACTCTAGGTATGAACATGAATTGTATTTACTGAATATTTTGAAAAGACAAGTTCAAACAGGAGGAAAAGGCGTAAGGACACCAGAGACATTCTGACCAAGAAGATAGACTTAAACCGAGATCTGTCCTCATACTCAGAGAACAGTGAGAAAGCAGTCTTGATTTTTCTTACCATCATAATATGTCAAGGGCAGTGAGCACACTTTGCCTCTTGATTTTACAGGCAATGCTGACATGAGCAGAATATTATTAGAGAGAACTGGAATATTATTAGCAGATACGTATTGCCAAATCTTATATTTTACTCCTATTTATTTGGAAATCCAGTGCAGAACGTTACATATTTATTAGCAGCACAAGCTTATCAAGAGCCACAATGTAATGGACAGATCCTGTTTCTCAGAAGCTTCGTACACTAGAGGCAGAGACAATCCTTCGTGAAGGAGGAAAGATGATGCAAACTGTCAGCTGTACATAAAAATTACCCCCAAATTGCAGAGAGCAGATGGCTGTTAATGGCAAGTGTTTTTAACATAGCTTTAGTGTCCCATACTGGGACATTAACTTGTCTCTCTGTTTTTTAAAAAAAGTCACTTTGTAAAAATGACACCTTGGCATGACTTGCATTTTTCCTCTTTGGTCTCCATGGCGTGTTTTGCTCAGATACGCTTGCCCAATTTTGTGCAGTTGATGTGCTCAGCAAGCCATTAGTGTATATTCTTTCTGTTTCATACATTCTCAGCAATTAGTAACACAAAACAACTATTTTTGAAGGACTGCAATGAGTAATTGCTTTTCTTTATTGGACTGATTCTGACTGCAAAGTAAGAATACGTGCTGCCTGTTCCCACATGCTAAGCTGATACATACAGGACTAAATACACAACACCAAACTTGCTTGGACTAGCAAATGTGATAACAGAGGAAATAGAGAGAAAAATGCATATGGAACACCTCTAGCTTTTCTGTTTTGTTAACTGCAGGTTGAAAGCTAGCTTTTGGGTGATTAAACTTTTCATTTGGTTATTAAGTGATAGACATCTTGCTGAACCCAAGCATGCTGCTACAAGCACAGGAAGAGCGTTTATTTAAAGCAGACACAGAAGATTGCACAAAGACCCTGAAACAAAACACAAATGTCAGCAAAACGAAACAAAGTAATCATGCACAATTTAAGACAGAGGCAGGCAGTAAATTGATGACAGTTCCTGAATAATCCTTTAGAAAAGAGTCACCCGGTGAGTTGGGAAATCTGTTTGTTTGTTGCAGTTTCTTATCTTTTCCCAACAGGAAATCTAGGAAACCTCCCCGTAACAGCCAGTGCATTTACCATGCACTGGGGTGATGGCTAAGCCACTCAGCTTGTGCTGGAGCTTTGTGCTACCATGGTTGTGCTGTAGAGGTTTTTATTCTGAGCTGTCATGAGCAGAGGAACTTTGTAGGGACCTTGTGGGGTCACTGTCACACTGAGAAGCAGATCCTTGCCAGGATCCACCCTTCCCTTACTGTATGGGAAAATCATCTAACCTTTCAGTGACTTGATTTTCCTTCTGAGTGAAGGGGTGATGGTATTTGTAATGAGACCTGTGGATTTAGGAGAACTGTGCAAATGCTCGGTTGTATTTTTCTTTTTTTTTGTGCGGGGAGCTTGGACCTGGGAAAAGCCACATTACAGAATAGCTGGCGATTACTCTGTAATCAATTCCTCTCTGTCATGAATAAAATGGTAGTCAGCTTCTTGAAAATCATCCAGCTTCCATCTTCTTGCCAGTCTCAGCTTCTATTCTTCTCTCCAGAGCCCTTGGCACAGCCATTAACCACATCAGAGTTTCACCAGTTGCAACATGCAGCTTCTCTTGAGTCGGAGTGACAGGAAGGCCTGAAGGAGGTGGCAGGGACAGAGGGAGTAGTCACTGCAGAGGACAGATATCTAATAGCAGAACAATAAACAATATACAAACCTCCCTCCGCCCCCTCTGGAAAAAGGAGAAGTGGGGAGGGAGTGTGAAACACAGAGATACTTTGGTAATTGTTCATTGGGAAATAGGAATGAGGCATTTCTTGGTCAAACCATCTCTGAGGGGCATTACCAGTAAAGAACTGGGAATTAGAACATTAATTGGAATGATAAGACCACTGAGAAATCCATTAGTCTGAGGTCACATCAGCCTCATTTTCAGAAAAGCAGCTCCTCTTGAGCTCATTCTGCCTGGATGGAAAAACCAGGCCTTTCAGACAATTTACAAGGTTTTTGATTTCTTTTTGGTTAACCTAAGGGTTATCTTTTATGTTTTCATTGCCAAGTTCCACTTCCAGCAAGTAGCTGATGTGGAAGCATAGCAGCTATGTTGCATCGTATTGAAACTGAATTTCATAAAGCCAGATGAAGGCAGTAATCAGTGCGTTTCCTTGTTCTGCACTAGAAATAATTGTACAGCTGTCAAATTCTCACTCAG